GGTGGGGAAGGAAGTCTGGTGGAGACAACAGTGACTGTTGTAGGGGGAAAACATTAAAGAACAGGAAGGTGAACCTCCACGTCCCACAGGGCCACTTTTGTGCATTTCTTCAGGCTCTGGTAGACTTGTATTTGCATAAATGAGCCTTGACTGGGCTTCCACTCTGGGACAAAGCAGTGAGGTCACCCCAGGCAGTGGAGGCCTTTTCTTCCTGAATAGTCTGAATAGTCTTACTGCAATTCCAATCATCCCCTTTCTCGAACTTTCTGGCCTTAGCTGGGGTCTGCCTTCTAGTCCCTGCCCTTGTACTATGGCTGTCACTCTGGCCAGTGGACCCTTCTAAGCAGTCATCTTTGAGCCTGTTTATAAGGCCTGAAGTTTTGTTTTAGCCAAAAGGGTGCTCTGCTGCCAGCAGTATGTCTGGAATGTTATTTACTCGGTACATTTCTGTGGCTTTTCTTATAGCACTGCACTTGCCAGAGCCAGGGCTCATTTGCTAGAGAAGGCTGTGCAGTTTGTCTTTCTTGGTAAGGGAAGGGGAGCCTAGCTCCTGTGCCTGGAGGTTCCCTGCCTCTCATCCTTCTTACATTTCTGTCTGCGTTAGTAATCTGCACTATTCTTGGTGCCTGTAGCACTGCACCCCTTTGTCCTCAGTGCCTCAACTCTACTTTGAATATCTGCAGTTTCTGCGGGCTCTTTGGGAAGCCTGGCAGATGCTTTTCCATTTGCGTGCCTGCCCTGTTATTACTTCACATGAAAGCTGTCTATTTTGGCAGCCCTGACTCCCGCGATTGCAATTTAGTTCTCCAAGCTGAATGAGTGATATTGTGTAAGGGAAATATAGGTGGGGTTTTTCTGTAATGGTGGCTGTGGGGGCGGACCAAAAATCTGCAAGCAGTCTTGGCTTGTTGCAGAGCTGACATGATGGCAAACAAATGGCTTTTGAAAGAAGGAAGCGGAATGCAGTTTCTGACTTTGGAAGGGTTCATAACCGGCTCGCTTTAATTGATAGATTTTTTTTCTAAAGAGCAAATTCTTCATTAGAAAGACTGGAAACAAGTCCTAGATAATGCTGAGTACTGAAGTGGAAGCAAAGGAGGGGTCTGTGTGTCTCTTCTTTCTGCAGCCCTTCTTCCTCCCACGTCATCTCTGCAATTTTTACCATGGTCTTTGGAGTTTCAGAAGGTGTAGAAATGAGATTAGATGACTCTCCCCAGCTGGTGCCAGCCCTGAGGCCCTTTGCACACCTGGAAAGGGTTAGTGCCCCACCTTCACTCTCATGATTCTGTTATGTCATGTGAATCTTGGGCGTCTACAGCTTGCACTGACAACCTTTGTTCTGCAGACACTGGGCCCTTCTCTGGGCTCCTTGGCCACCTCCCCATGCAAGGCACCTGTTAGGTTGTCACTCCACAGTTAGCTCCAGCGTGAAATGGAAAAGTTTTGGCTCTATTCTTCTTGGCTTTTCTTGGCCTTCTGCATGACTTCTCAATTCGCCTGTAAGCTGCCAGGCATTTTGGCTGAAGGGTCTTCTTTGATCCCACTCCTGACAGCATGGGCTACACGAAGTTCTCACACCTGTTCCTCTTTTACAGTCCAGATTTCACAGTAAATGCTTCCATTGCCTTGTAATTTTGTCAGTATAAAACTTGGTACAGGTTACTTATTACAGGTAATAGTCGCTTGATTACGGAGACAACTGCTGGCAGAAACGGCAACCTGAGCTGCTGCCAGAAACATAAACTGCCACTTTCTTTAGGTCTAAAAGCATTGCAGCCGCAAGTCTATCCATCATGATCTAGCACACTCATGATAATAACAGACTCTCTAGGCTAAGAAAGCTGCCCCATGGAATAGCCACAAGGACAGGCTCTAACAGGACTCCACGTGTTTTCTCTCCCATTATCTGCAGCCCACACATCATCTTCCTCTCTCAGAGCATCTTAACAGGTATGAGCCGTCTCTGTGGGACCCGACTCTGCCATGAAATTGCTCATGCCTGGTTTGGCTAGCCATCGGTGCACGCAATTGGACAGAGGAGTGGCTCAGTGAAGGGTTCGCCACTCACTTGGAAGATGTATTTTGGGCTGAAGCACAGCAGGTGAGTTCAAAGAATTTCCCTATCCAGAGTCAGGGTCTCCATTCATTCATTCACTCATTCATTCATTCACTCAGTAGATATATCCTGAGCATACTAAATACTATGTTTGCTAGATAAATTACAGTAAAAACAAGAGAGAGAAGCCCCTGCCCCCTGTAAGTGAACAGTCTAGAGACAGGGGAGAGAACAGACAAACCAGTGAAGCAGGAACATGCTAAGAGTACTGTGAAGAAAGATGAGCCGCACACAGGGTGAAGGGGAGCTCTGTTGGCAGGGGCCACACATCTGAACTGAAGCATAAAGAAAAGGTCGTGCTGACATTTTATAACACTCATGTATGATGGTTGTGGTGACATTAACTATGGGCGTTTGGTTTGGTTTTGAGACAGAGTCTTTCTCTGTAGCTCCAAGACCCTGTATCAACTCCCCCAACCCCAACACACACAAAATGCCAATTAGGAGTCACATCTCAGATGTCTGTTGGTGAATGACGAACAAAGAACAGGCATTGGAGTTACAGATTAGGCATTGCTGAGGTTTGTGAGAAGCTGGCAACTGCTCCGCTGTAACAGTTGTCCTGTCTAAGGGAAGGTTCATATAGCTTGGACTTCAAGTGTTTCAAGGAACTCCATAAATCTGATTTTTATGTGGGGCTCACTAATTTAAAAATAATTTTATAAATTGGGTATGATGGCTCACACTTGTATTTCCAGCCCTTAGGAGGCTGAGCAAGAGTGTTGCTACAAGTTTGAGGCCAGCCCGGGCTATATAGTGAGTTCCAGCAGAACCTTAACTAGAGTGATGCCGTCTCAAAACAAACACAAAGGCAAACTTTTTAAACTTTGGGCCTCAGTTTCCCCTGAGGAATGAACATAAGAAGCCTTAGATTTAGGGGACTAGAGAGATGACTCAGTGGTTAAGAGCAACAGTTGCTCTTGCAGAGCACCCAGGTTTGATTCCCAGCCCCTACATGGTGGCTAGAAACCATCTGTAACTCCAGTTCCAGGGGATCTGGCATTCTCTTCTGACCTATATGGGCATTGCACAGCACTGGTGCACTTACATACATGCAGGCAATCCAATCATACACATAAAATAAATAATAAATTTGAAGTATTTTTTTTGAAAAAAGAAAGCTTAGATTTAGAATAGGATAATGTATGTGTGAGCTTAGCACCTCCCAGACACACGAAAGGCCTGCTCTCTTTCATTCCCCTACCCACAGAGGCATTCAGCAAGGGTTTCATGTAGATGGATCTGTGTCTCCATCTCTTCCCGGTTGCTTCCATTCTGAGACATGCAGATTGGTGCTGTTCTTGGCCACAC